GCATTACTGTACACACATCTATTGCGTCGAGCCACCGGTACCCACACCATCGTGTGTACCCACACCATCGTGTGTACCCACACCATCGTGTGTACCCACACCATCGTGTGTACCCACACCATCGTGTGTACCCACACCATCGTGTGTATACCCACACCATCGTGTGTATACCCACACCATCGTGTGTATACCCTAGGGTGTATACACCCACCCAGTCCTGCTTACCTTGACCAGAACCTTCTCCTTTCCCATGGGTTTCACGACCTCTCCGATGTGGCTGGCAGGCTCGAGTAGTCCGCTTACTTCTTCCTTAAGCTCTCGCACTAATGAAAGGAGAATGGGCAGCATTAGGGAGTGTGTATACCTTTCAAGTTGAGCTCATTGCGTTGGGCCTCAAGCCGGCGCGTTTCGCTCATCTTCTCCGCAATGACTTGCCGCAATTGTTCAATCTTTGATGCATAGTACGCTGCCACGGCGCCGGTCATTTTTTCGGAGTTTTTAATTCGACCAAAAGCGGTATGTGATCGCTGGGAAAAGCTCTAGTAGGCAACCCCAACGGCCCGCGTAAGGCCGTGTGGACGCTGGGGTCGTGAGTGTCGATGGTGGTTACAGGCACTCCCTTTAGCGACCAAAGACTCTCTTCTGTGGAAAAGATCCAATCGAGTACTGCTTTGAATACCCCGATGTTATTGGTGAACTCCAAAGGTTCCAGCTGAGCAGAAGCCAATAATCGGTCTTTGGGCAATGCCAGGGCGGGCCCTTGGGGCAAGAACGTGGGGTCTGACGTTTCGGCTGGAAGGCCGTTGTCTTCCGAGGCACTGAAACCACCGTACTTGAAGCTAACCGCCTGAGCCCAGCTCGGATGGTTTGGTCCGACGTAGCCTTTCTGCAGCAAGTCGATTGCAGCCGTACCGTTGTCGGCATTCATATCGCCTGCTACAATCAACGAGCCGCGCTCCTTCGTCATTTTCAGAGCTTCGTTAACGGCAAAGTAGGCCTGCAGAGCTCGAATGTGACTACCCATTGGATGCCAATAAAAGTGGCTGTTTACTATCACCATGTCCCTCTTGGTGACTGTGTCGATAACTCGTAAGGCTCCCACCACCGAACTCATTCTCTCCAAGACTCGCCCGGTGAAGTCGCCGCCCCATAATCGATCACAAGACTCACATATGTCTCTGTACTCCGGATTAGTTACAAACTGCTTCTTGAATGTAAATAGCTGTTGTTCACAGATCCGGAAACGATCTCGTCTCACAAAGATAGCTAGACCCTCCTCGGCCTTAGACTTCTTCTCAAAAAACCTTCCTTCGTGGCCATCTAAATAAGGCACCAATAGAGAGTGGAACACCTCCACGCCCACCTCCTGGAAGCAGAACACATCAGCCTTCATCAGGCCCAAGTGCCGCGCAATCAACGGCTTTCTGTAGTCATATGATATAGCCTCTTCGGCGCAGAAAGGGAACATCTCCTCCTTAGCAAAAGAGGTGGCTGCATATACAGGCGCCAAAATGTTCCATGAGCACACTCGAATAGTGTGGTCTCCGTTGACGACCCGGGGAATAATCGATCGCAACCGATCCTCAACCCACTCAGAACGCGGTGGGTCATCCAGTACTGTGTGATCACATATTGTAATTCCGAACCAGGAGTCTATACCCAAATCCTCTCTCGGTTTAACTACAATAAATGGGTGGTGACGAAGGTAATGATTGTCCCAATAATGGCAGTGTTGAACGTTACTCTTTACGACAATATTGCTGCCTATTGCAAGGTCCTTGGCCACATCCCATATAAGACCGGTCCCAACCAGACGCCCGAATTCTGAAGGGTCCCTCTCTCCCAGCTTAACAGTCGACGAGTATTGAGGCAGACGTACATCGATGGTTTTCGGCAGTCTGTTGCCCAGTTCAGGCGGGTATAGCTTGAGCGTTTCTTCACGACTCAAGCAGTACCACTCAGCCACCAAATCATGCATATGCGAGTAGTAAGGGGTGCAGACAATGGCCGGATGATTTCTGAACAAGCACTGGGGGATGCTGAACGTAACACCAGGCGGCACCACATTCTGAATGACCTTCCAGGAAGCAATCTCCGTCCGGATCTCCTCGCATTCTGACATCAGAACATCCAGTTGCGGACACAGCTCGTTCGTCTCACCAGGAACCGCGTCGGCATATAATATTTGTCCGTTCTGACCAGTTGCTGAGAGAACGCCCGCATACTTACCCAACTTCAGTCTGAGTCTCCCAAAACACTGGGAGCAAGGCTCTTTCAGCTTTCGTTTCAGAACAACACTTTTCTGAATACCGTATTTCTCAACAGGCTGGTAGAACTGTAGCTCCATAACCTCAATGTCTTGCGACACCAAACACAGCCCAATGGGGGCACACGTGGGGAGGTCGGTGGCAGCCACAGCGGGCGCTATCATCGTATTTTTAACGGCAGAAAAACGGCGAGTTGGCGAACTTGCGGCGAGTTGGCGAACTTGTGGCGAGTTGGCGAACTTGTGGCGGGTTGGCGAATTTGCGGTGACTAGCCGAAGGCACTGATGACACTGCAAGGATACATGGGGTAGTACAGGCGCGCAATGGCCAATTGAAGCAACAATCTGACTGCAACGGCAGTTAACACAACGAGCAAGGCAGGAGTACCTTTGCGCCCGCTCGTGAGTTTGACGACCACCACACACGTGCTCAGGTTGAAAGAAGCAACTGCCAGGCGAATGTCGGGAGCTGCCGACCAAATCATCAGGATAACCGGCGCCACTTTTCCAATTTGTGAGACGCCAGCTGCTACAGCAATGTCAAAAGGAGTAAGGCGCATCGCTGAGGGATCCTTCGAGTTCCGTATGAGCCCAACGCCGATCGTGATCGCGGCCAAGAACCCGACCATTTCAATAATGGCGGCCGCAGTGACCCCCAAATAGGACCAGCTGCTGAGGTTGGAGTTCATTGAGTGAACTACTTGCGAAAACAACACCCTAAAGTCAGCACTTATTTGGTGGGGGTGGCGGGTGGATTTTACTTGTGAAGAGCATAGTCCAGACGCTCCATCATTTTGCCCGGGGGAACTACCGCCTTGGCCGGCATGGGCGTAGCCCGCAGTTTCACAAAGATATCGCTGACACCCATCAGTAACACCGAACGGATCACGTGCCATCGGAGAAAAGATCTTCTCAAAGACGAGGCCGGCGCCGGGTAGGACGGAAGGGGCGGCGATGACTTATAGGCCGCTAAAGTATTGCTGTTAGGACTAAGTTCGTCAAAGACGTAGCTCGGGGATAAGTCCGCAGGGCTTTGGGATGCCAGGTCCGGGCACTTCGAATTTACGGCATAGTCCTTCCTGTTAAATATAGAGTGTCTGAACACTGGCTCCTTCAATAGGAGCATTTCCAACACGACGTTCACCTATGAGCACTTATGAGGGGGGGAAGCTGAGG